AAGTTACAAAGTCACTCCAAGTATTTTATGGATTAAATAGGTGTTTCCAAAATAAATAAATAAATTAACTAAAATTAAATCAAACCAAAGAATAATTACGTAATTAATCTTAAAAATTGATAGATAAATATTCTTTGAAGCAACGATTTATTAATTTTTCATAGTCATTTCAGAGTTATAAAAGAACACAATTAGTCTCTTAACACATTATATACAATGTGTTTAAAATAATGTTCAAAAATTTCTTAGGTAAGTAACTCTGTGTATTAAATTGATAATCCCACATCTTAGGTAACCGTACAGTGCTCTGGGAGTGTGTAAACTTCTTCTTTTTGCTTCAATGAACATATACAGGGGCGTACTGGGGCATATACTGTGGTTTACCGTAGTTGCCTGTAGGAAACAGTAGCCATACAGTGGCATACTGTAGGCGTATTGGGGCCTACTGTATGTAACTGTGGCATGCTGGGGATACATACAGTGGCATACAGAGATTTACTGTATATACAGAGCTAGCATACCGTAGCATACTGTAGATATACCGTAGATTACTGAGAAAATGCTGTAGGATACAGAGAAAGACAGTGGATTTTCATACGGACAGGGGTTTTAAAAGCCAGTAGTGAAAGATAATAAATAACATTTGTGAATAACTTCTTAGATTTTCTAATAAATGTAGAGGGATAGAACTACAGTCTACATGTAATTGAAGTTACACGTCTGTTCAGTTTTACTATGCAGTAAAATTAAGGACGTCGAGTCTCAACTCTGATATCTCGACACCTCGGATATCTCGACATTTCCGACTGTCCCGTCGATGTCGAGATAACGAAGTTTACCTGTATAACACTATTAAAAATTTTGGTAATGGTCAAATGTCGGACTACCGGGCCGTCGGACTATCGGACCGTCGGACTACTGGGCTGTCGGACTATCGGACCGTCGGACTACTGGGCTGTCGGACTATAGGACCGTCGGAATACTAGGCTTGAAGAGTCCTAAGAAAACTTCAATCTTAAAGTAGGTCACTGTGACGTAGTTATGTTTTTTTATAGCGTTATTATTAAAAATATCCTCGGTCCTAATTGGCTAAGAATCATCAAACTTTGTCAGTTGATGCAACTTGGTTCTTAAGATACTTCGGATTAAAGGCTTCAAATAGAAGTGATAGATTGTACAATTTATCAGAAGAGCGATTCAAGGCCCTTGGGCCTCTTGTTTGACTAACACAAGAAATCTGTGAGCCAATGCTCACTAGTAATACCCCCGCTCTGATGTAAATAAACACAGCTATCATGATAATGATCACATGTTCAGTTACAGGTAGATGCACAGAAAAAATTTGAAGTTGACGTTAGATTCATATCATATGAAACTTCCACCAGAGCAGTTCGTTTATAATATAAGTACCAAACTGAGTGCAGAGACGCAGAGGTCTATGGACAGTTTGCCTATACATAATTATAATATTGTACATGCATTATGTATGAAGAAAATCGGCAATGTAGCATGCAAGTGTTTCATAAGAAATTTTAAAAACAGGTCACGCAAATTTCATTTTATCAATGGAATGATAATTGGTTTGCAGCCGATTTTTGACGCTTGCCTCAATATATGTTTATTGTTTCCTTATTCATAGAACAATTATTTTTGTTCTTCTATGTACATGTATAATTATATTATTGTAAGACTTTGTAAATGTTGTATGGCTATTCAGATTTTTTGTATTGGAGAGGTCTATCTAAGTTCTTGGAACTTGTGTCCCTTCGACATATTGTCAATAGAATATGTTAAAAAAAAATACCACAATTTTTTCCACAGACCCCAGCTTCTCCGTGAAATGCGGCTTCAGGAAACATTAAAGAAACGTACTAGTTAAATGCCGTTCCAGATGTGCCACTATTTACTGAAGAAGAGTTGTGTAGCGAACAGATAACAGCAATGGTCTGTGGAGCTTATTCAAAGCGAGATAAGGCAAAGGTACGTTTTCAACTCAATTGGTCTTCTGCTATCCGTCGTGCGGTGTGCTTCATATGTATAAAATTCAGCCTCTTCTCTGCAACCGCTCAATCAATTTCGGCTTAAAGCATCTAAGGGTGAGGGAAACAAAAATTACGAATTTCATTGCCTTTCCTCCCTTGGGCCTGAGGGATGGTCAAAAACCACTTATATTAATGCAATTTTTGATTTTTTTTTTTTTTCGAATTCCTGGACATTTTAAATTAATCTTTTTCTTTAAATGAAGAATGATTGGAAAGGCAGGGAATCATACACTGCAATTTTATGTCCTGGCGCCTCTCCTCATGAAGGAAGCCAACCAGCTGTCAATCATAATGCGATTGGTTGATAAGCAACAGCTCAGCCGGTACCAGCGGACAGCATACCGTCGCATCGATGGAACATTATTCGAGTTGTGGTCGGCGTAAGAGAAGAACACCATCACAACCTCTTTGTTTCTGTGCAAGGTTGGCCATATCATCACCCCTTCCATACCAAGACCTGAGTAGTAATTAATTATTTCCTGGGGCATAGTGATTATTTTTTATCATAAGAAAAAAAGTTGAAAATTGTAATTTTACACTAAAATCAGTTCATGGGGATTTTATTTATAAAGAGCTTTTGAAACTCAATCCCAACAAGGTACAGGTCTATCACTTCTGGCATTGTTCCTGATGATATTAAAATAGCTATAATCAAACTTTCATAAAAGGTAGTTCACTTGAGGTTGGTTATTACAGACCTGTTAGTATTTTGAATATTGTGTTTCCAAGGTTATAGAGAGGGCTGTTAATATACAACTTGTTAAATTATTAGATCAATATAAAATGTTGTATGAATTTCAATTTGGTTTTAGAGGACATTTTTCTAATAAAACTTGTTTAATACATTAGTATGATTTTATGAAAGGAAATACATCAAAGGGTGTGCAGTTTTCGTATTGCATATTTTATTTCGATCGGGTTCGATATTCTGGTTACACTAATTATGGCGGCCAAGCGGTTTGCCTGGCGTTTTGTCTGTTAAGTTTGGTGTAGTTGGCCTCCGTAAGGAGTAAGTTTTATATTGTTTTACCTGGATTTATATCTAACTTGGTCATCTGTATCTTATAGTATTATGCAATATTTTTTATCATGTTTAAATTCTGCAAATACAATGTTTTGCAAAATCGCTTATTTTCAGCATGCGATAGACATAGTCCTGTTTAGCTCACATGTTAAAGTTACGCTTTTAATTTTGTATATTTGTTTTTCGATATTGATATTTTGTCAAATTCTAAATGTGCTTTTCACTCTCTCACAAGGTTTGTCAAATAAACACTATATTGAAAATTCCTTAATTCCTGGCCATTTTGTATAGAGATTCGCCAGACTAGGAAGATGACAGCTCAAGGATCTCACCAGTTTGAGGAAAGTGTTTTAAGCTTTACATCAAAGCTATGCATGATTAAAATAGACATTGATCGTATTATTTCTGAGTGAGAACGTGGTGTAGAGCTCGCACAAAGTCAAAAGATTATTGAAAACGTACAGAAACATTTTGAAAATTAGGAAGTTCTTAGTAACAGTTATGAAGCATTTTTGAAAGGTCACAGACCTGTAGAAAGTGAAAATGAACAGTCTTCACACAAAGTAATTCTAGCATCTTTACATGCAAAGACTACTTCTTTTATCGAACAGTTACAGACCGCACTGCCGAAGATGGAGTCATCCAAGGCACCGTCATTAGTTCCCTCGAACATATCGGGAAGATCAGGTTCAAGTCACCTCACCGCTATCTGGATGCAACATACTGCCAATGTTGAGAAAGCGAAGGCTCGTTTGAAGTATGCAGCTGAGCTCATTAGACAAGAAGCTGCTCTGAAAGCTAGTAGGAACCTTTTGAACGTGAAACGTGAGCTTGAGGAAGCTGAATCTGGACTAAGTGCAATTCTTCAAGTATTTGACTTTTCTCAATCAAGCTCAATATCTATGGAGAGCGATCATGGCAGCTACAAACCTTCTTTGTCATCCAAGCTCCGTGTGCTTCGTTACATACAGGATAACAACAATGATCGCACCCCTCCTCCGGAAGTTCCGGCTGAAGTGAACCTTCATGTGTTTAATAACATCATTAACATTTAATAGTATCATTCACCACCGATTGTAAAGAGCTGTCCGTCTAATATACGAAATACATCGATATCATCTTCACGATTCAAAAATTGATAACATCTTTTATTATTATTTATACAATGCTGATATATAGACGGATCGTCTGATTGTTGTCAATTTCATTGTCCGTGTGTAATAAATAAAACAAATCTTTTGAAACGTTCATAAGCTCTATACGTTTAATATATTTTAAATCTAAAAGACACATCTATTGCATCATTTTCACACAGGGCCTTTCAAATATGAAGGGGGGGGGGGGGTAGTGATGACTGATATATTTATGATCGGGTTCCTTTAAGCTTGTAATGTATATAAATAACAGGTAAATAGATTTCACAAGTTACCCTCCAGACCTTGCAGTATACAGACGTATCTGCTCCTATAAAATCCGGTAACTCATTTTTATTCACTACAACTCAGCATCGTTTATTTGTTATTCATTCATTTTATTTATGTAACGTCGAAATATAAACACAACACTTATATGAAGATTGTAGGTAATACCGCCGACGCACGGGAAATGTGGCGAACTATGCCCTTTCACAAGGTGCGCCATTTTCAAGTATCGCGTACAATCACATAATTTGATGAGAATACAATATGGTACGACTTAATATATTGCTTATTTACAAGCAATAGTTAGCTCGTACCATTGATTACGTGTGATCTCGGACAAAACAGAGTCGGACTAGCTATAACCAACTCGGCCTATAACGGATTCGGTCTATACACATACTCGGCTGAAAACTAACTCGGCCTTAAATAGAGTCGGCCTATCGCTAAAAACAGTAAGATATATATGTGATATAACAAACTTTTATAGCATATGCTTGTACCTGTAAATCAGGGACCTATATACTAACGGGATAGGCAACTTCTACAGTTTCCTTTGCCTCTTTCACGAAATCACGTGAGACGCGAGACTTCGCGAGAAGTGAAGATTTCCAGCGACGCCATATTGAATTTTTTTAAAACTAGTGCTCAATTTTCAACAATAACGTCCTGAAATTAACAGTTACATCGACAATTTAGTCAGGTAAGTGTTTTCTTAACTTCATTGATTACCATTGATCATATTTCAAACACCCGCGATAAGGTGTTTACATAGTAATTAAGATAAGCGGTCAGGCGTGGAGCCTCGTGGCTATGTTTACAAACACAGCGGGTGTTAAGAGGCATCAAAGGGGGTTTTAATGCTTGCAATTATAACGGAAGCATATTCTTAACTTAAATACAGTATATTTCAGCAAATACTATTGAGATTTTTGTGGAACGTTTCATAATTACCGTCACTAATTGGTCAATTTCTGCAAACCCAAAAGCGAAAATGGGGACATCAAGATTTTTCTAAAAACATCTTCATTTGGAAAGAAAATTGAAAATTGTCGATTTCGAATGTGAAAATGAGTATAGAATGATGGATTTATTTAAAAATTTGTATCTTCTAATATTTTATTAAACGAAAGAACTAGTCTCAAAGATGGGCATTTTTCTGTAGCGGCCATGTTTTTTTAATGAGAATGCAATGCCAAGGTGGTCTTCGAATTTTTTCTTAAAACTTGAAGTATAATGCATTGAAGTAAAAGAAAGTTGGGTCAATTTGAGTAAAAATGAATAAAGAATGGATTTTTAAAAAAAGAACTAAGAAATATTTGCACAATATTTTGTAAATGGTGGTTAAAGTGGTGATTATTCCAATATTATATAAGAAAAATGCCAAGGTGATCCTGCGATTTTTTTCTTCTAAAAACTTAAGTATATTGCCTTAAAGTTAGAGAAAGTTTGATCAATTTGTGCTAAAATAAGAAAAAGATGGATTTTTGTTATTAAAAGAAATCAGTAATAATTTTTAAAGTATTATTTTAAGTGGTCATAATTCCCCAAAATTAAAATTATATCTACATGAAAAACCTCAGTGATTCATATGAAAATATTAAATATTCCTTCAGATTTTTTCTCAAGTTTAATTTTTTTCAATTATAGTTAATCATGTTTTCCTATTATTACATTTTGAATGAATACAAAGGCAGAAATTTTATAAATGTTGTTGTTCTTTATACAAAAATTATTGGTGTATGCCAGATTTATAGAAATTTTTATTCTAGGCGTTACTAATCATTTAAAGAATTAATACAGGTTGTCCATAAAAATTTCCCTTCTTGACCCCCTTCTTGCATATTTAATCTACCTGTACAAACTTCCCATCCATGATAAAATCAGCCAATCAAAATGAAGCATTATCTATATCAGGCATTTCTTTTAAAATCAATGAAATGTTGAATATTGGGTTTTTAAAATGACAATTAAAAAATAAAAAAAAAATTGTTGTAAGATCCATGCACAGAGAATAAACCTCATACCCTAGCCTGTTACAACTGATATCTAATGATAATCTAGGGAAAAAATTGACTTATTCTCTAATTATAACATATAGCATATAATATAGTATACCCAGAGTTTTCCTTTTATTTCAAAGTAAAGAGTTAGAGATCAGTCGTAAAGTCTAGGGTATGAGGTTTTTGAACAAAATCTCTGTGGACCTTAGAACGAATTGTTATTTCAAAGCGGCATTTTTGTCAATTGAAGTGGTCAATTTGGCCGGTTACCAGTTCTAAGGGAAAACACTGTATACCAGAAATTTTATTTTCCTAGAGCTTAGTATATAAAATAAGGAACATACCGGTATATGTTTACTATAATGTTTACTAACTACTACCTGGAAAAAGCTTGAACTTGATAGGCTAGCTACCCATACGGAAAAAAAGGGCAAACAAACTACTATAACAAATTACTAACAAACCACTATGGTTTGAAAGTAGTGTAATAGTATAGCAAATCACATGCAAATGAGCTAACAAACTATCAAACCACTCTTAACAAACTACTATCAAACCACTCTAACAAACTACTATCAAACCATTCTAACAAACTACTATCAAACCACTCTTACAAACTACTATCAAACCATTCTAACAAACTACTATCAAACCACTCTAACAAACTACTAACAAATCACTGGTAACAAATCCATCAGCAAAACACTGTAGATTTGAATTTTCCTTTACAAATCCACAAGTCCTCATTGAAAACACCTAAAACAATCACATTTTGAAATATTCAACAAGTCTTGTTTCAGAGTATTTCAATTCCAGGATTCACAAGTTTAGCCAATGCAAGTGCAACATCCAACATTTTTCCTTTTGTTTAGGAGATGCAATTCCAAGTCAATGTCCATGTACTTATCACATATTCTCCTTCATGTTGTGACTACATCTTCATAGTATTTTTCACCAAAAAAAATGTTCTTCAAGCTGATGATTGACATTTAAATATTTCCCTGCTTCATCTGGCATGGAAAAAGCTGCAATATTTCCTTTTTTCTGACCTCATTGCAACTTTGAAAGACATCTTTATTGTCTTATTTTCAAGTATACTTCCCAAAATCCAATGCATAACTGATCTAAACTAGTATAGGAATTATAGGTCAATCTGAAAATGAATAAAAAACCCAAAGCTAGTAAAAAGCATACGCATCCACATTCACAGAAGGTTAATTACTTCATGACATGCATTAAATACCTCTTCTGTATCCAGATCCATCTTTTAATAATGTTAATTGCTGCTTTTTCCAGTCAGGGATCTTATAGAATGATACTATAACAATTTGAATGTCATTTCACCAGTTCCTTTGTTTCTGACCTGCTTGGTGGTTTGAAAATTGGCGCAAATAGCTATAACACCGGATGTAAAGAGATAAGCTGTTCTTGGAAACTTCAACAATTTTAGATAATTCAACCCTAAACACATCTGTAAAGTAATTTCCCATGTGGTTAGATGCAAATGCTATACTAATAAAACACTTTTGCAAGATACCAAGTCTAACAAACTATAAAGAAATCACAATCACCAGAAATGAAAGACTAACAAACCACTGCAGCTATTTTTAGAAAAAGTGGTTTGTTAGTGGTTCATTAAATGCTATACTATCAAACTACTTTAACAAACGACAAAAATATAGTTTGTTGGTAGTTTGTTGATGGTTTGATAGTAGTTTGTTAAAAATCTTTTCCGTTTGGGTAATAATAAGTTTGTCATGTTCTGATAGATCTCAGTTCTTCAAGTTTTATTGCTACACTGCAGTGGATCAAAGATGTTATATTTTAATTAGATTGATACCAACAATTCTTAAGCAGTTAGGACATTTTGTGTGGTTTGCACTGCTTGTAAGGGCTGACCTAAAAAAAAAAAGGGCTGTAAATTTCAAAGAGAATTACTTCATTTAGACTGATAAAATTATTTTTTTAAAAATATTTATAAAATAAGAATTTTTACACTTTTTATAAATGCATGAGCAGATCTAACATCTAAATGAAATTGATATTTGAGTACCTTTCTGTGGGAATATATATATATTTTTGAATATCAGACAAAAATTATATTAGTAAAATAAAAAGTAAATGGAAAATTAATAAAATTAAAAAAAAAATCCTTCCCTTCCTCCCTCCTGGGACTGAAAACCCCAGGCGCCAATTCTAAACAAACTTTTTTTTGGGGAAGGATGACCTTAAAGAAACATTTTATATGACTGAGCATAGGGTTCATGAACCTGAAAGCTATTGTAAATTAATAGCTACAAATAGAATTCTTAAATCCTAAATACAGTGTAAGCTTTTTTATTCCAGAATGCCTAGAAAGCGGCGGAATTCTGTAATGCAGAAGAAAAAGTACCACTACAAGAGGGCCCGAGACGAACAATCCTATGTACAGTTGGAACACAATTATGTCCGAAGTCCCAGTGAGGCTCCAGAGACTGAAGGAGACAGATCCCCTTGCTCAAACTGTGAATCTGATGGTGAAGACTCAAGTGCAGAGGAAATGGACATAGACAATTTGGATTTGCATGCAGGCATCCTTGTGGGAGAAAGTGTTGAAGTTAAGACAGAGGAAGTGACAGATCCATTTGAAATTTTACGATATGAGTTGACTGAAAATGTGCCTTCCCCGTATATTATGGACTTCAATGAAAAGCAACACAGTATTGAAATTCTCCAGCTCTACAGACGGGAACACAACACAGCCGTGAAGTTATCTCTTGTGATCGGGAAAGACTGCCATGTTCAGCTGTATGTTCATCGGACATTAGTTCCTGAAACCCATGATTTTTGGAGTGAGCTTTCAACACACGTCCACAGTGCAAGTGATGTTTTCAAGATTCTGGAAAAACTTTCAGAGTATGGAGTGTGCGTTGGAAACCCAGATCCAGAATTTCAGGAATTGACACCAGTTGGATGTGGAATCTCGAATGCCTCATCACCAGAAATTTTAGCCTACCGTGAAGGTGACTTTTGTGCTGTCCAAGGGAATTTGTCATATTCATCTACCATCAGATCTTCCCAGTGTTCTATGCTTGTTCTTGGTGCCAGATGTCCCCAGTGTTCAAGCTATCGTCGACAGTTGAAGGCACGGAAAATCCGACAGGAAGAAAAACAGGAAAAGACATTATCTTTGAGCAGCACCTATAAACATACTGATATGAACAGGGATATGCTGATAAAGAAGTTAGAACAACAAAAGGAACAAATCAAGTCCATGCAACACACGATTGATAAGATGAGAAGAGACTGTGATAAGGAGATCATAAGAAATGGCATTTCCATGAATTCCATCCAAAATCAGGAGGTATGAGATTTGATGGCTACCTGTGAGGAAGAGATGGTGGCAGCTTATCCTGACTGCAATTCGTTTCAACGTCTCTTTTTGGAACAACAGAAAAAGGCAATTAAACATGGAAAAAATGGTATGCGTTGGCATCCGACAATTATTCGATGGTGTCTCTACCTCAGGCAGAAGTCATCAAAAGCCTATGATGCTCTTAGAGACTCAGGATTCATCACACTGCCAAGTTCAAGAACTCTCTTTGATTACACTCATTATCTAACCAGTGCCCTTGGTTTCCAGCCAGATGTTGTCAAGTTATTACGAGAGGAGTGTGAAAAAAGAGAGATGTTACAGGAAGAATGGAAGAGCTACACCGGCATTTTGTTTGATGAGATAAAGATCAAAGAAGATTTAGTGTATGACAAACACTCCGGAGAAATCATAGGCTATGTGAAGCTTGGGGACATAGGAGATCAACTCTGTGCATTAGAGAGAAATGTTAGCGGAGATGCAGGAAACTCTAGTGTAGCCAAATGTATCCTCGTTCTGATGGTGCGTGGAATTACGAGTGACCTTAAGTTTCCATTCGCAGCTTTTGCTACTACAGGGATAACAGCAGATTTCCTTTATCCCATCATTTGGAAGGCTGTTGAACTTTTGGAGACTGTGGTGAAAGTTAAGGTGCTATTTCTCACCTGCGATGGAGCATCACCTAATAGAAGATTTTTTAATTTGCACAGAGTTGATGAAGATGGGATTGTCCATTTCACTCAAAATCCACATGACCTGTCAAGAAAAATCTTCTTTATATCGGATGTACCTCATCTGGTTAAAACAACAAGAAATTGCTTCAGCAACTCAAATTCCCACTCAAATACCAGGAAATTATGGAAGGATGGAAAAGACATATCGTGGCTACATGTGCTGAGACTTTTTGAGGAACATTGTGAGAACAATCTGTATTCCACCTGCCCAAAGCTCACACGATTACATCTTGACTTGACAGCCTTCAGTCGAATGAAAGTCAGTCTAGCGGCCCAAGTGCTTAGTGATACTGTGGCAAATTCACTTGAATTTCACTCTGATGATACAGTGAGTGAGACAGTGAAATTCATAAGGATTATGAACAAATTCTTTGACTGTTTAAATGTAAGGAATCCATTTGAAGGCAGAAATAAACGGAATGCCAACCTGGACCCTTACCGATCCACAGATGATGTGAGATTGGGATGGCTTAAAGACAATTTCCTTGATTACCTCCAGGAGTGGAGAAATTCTGTGAACAACAGAAGGAACCTTTCAGATTCACAAAAAGCGTCGATGCAGCTAAGCTACCAGACCTTGAATGGACTCAAAATTTCTACTCTGTCCATCACTGAGTGTGTCAAGTTCATGTTGGACAAGGGAGCATCCTATATATTAACCCATTGCTTCAACCAGGATCCCCTTGAACAACACTTCGGCCACTACAGACACAAAGTAGGCCATAACAACAATCCAACTGTGTTTGAAGTGAAGAACATTCTTACGCAAATTAGAACTGTAGGTGCTTTGGCTTTGGGGCCGAAAAGAGGCAATATTCAGAGGGATGAAAATGTGAACATTGCTGACATTAACAACAACAAGTTGCCCAGGAGGAAGCCTATGAGGATGTAATTCACTCAGGACCAAAGTGTGACTGTCCCAGAAACTATGAAAACCTTATTGTACAGCTGTAAATGTTGACATTTTGCTGTTATTTATTTATTTATTTATATGTCTTGTTTGTTTTGTTTTATCATAGTTGTTAATTGTAATAAATTATCTGTGAGGATGTAATTCACTCAGGACCAAAGTGTGACTGTCCCAGAAACTATGAAAACCTTATTGTACAGCTGTAAATGTTGACATTTTGCTGTTATTTATTTATTTATTTATAAATATGTCTTGTTTGTTTTGTTTTATCATAGTTGTTAATTGTAATAAATTATCTGATTTTCAGTTGGTTTTATTTCTACAGTAAAACAAGTTCCCTTCTTGCTTTACAAAAGAGCTTTTAACTGAGACTAATATCTTGATGCAGTTGTAAAATCTTCTACAGAATCCATTATAAATATTACCTGCATTATTAAAAATGCTGGTACATTATTATATATATCTTTTAAACTCCTTTCAAAGATAAGTCCCAATGTTAAATTAATGTGAAAGAAAGAAGAATGTATTTTGCAAAATTACACTTTGGTCTTGGTCACAAGTTCTTTTGTATTACATAATCCTTTGAGAATTTGATACCATGCTGTCAAAGCTGCAGGTAGAATCCCATGGAATGTCACTGTGACATCTCCCTGAACTGGTGTATACAGTTCTTTAAAGATACACAGACACAGACTTGAAATTACTATTATTTCAAATTTTCTGTAAAATATTACAACATGTTTATCATATTTATTCTAATAGTATTTCACAAGAAAATATAATAATAAAAAACTTTATTTTATTTGGAGGTTATGGAAACTTTGAATTTCTGGTTTGATTGACACGTCCTTGAATTTACACAAATTATTATTTTCTTCTGAGTCCATAAAAAAATGGAATTTTTGTTGTATATTGAAAGTTTGATGAAAATCAACTTCAAATCTGTGTCTTAGTACCTTTAACATAGATATTGCCTCAGCAGTGTGGACTGGTAATATTCCACGATTTGTAATTCATTAATATTCAAAAAATACAAATTGAATCCCCACTCCCCCCTCTCACTGGACAAGGAATGACACATTTTTTTTTTTTTTTACAAATTTATTGAATAATAATATCATTGGTTGTATCAAATAAATAGATCTGTTGAAAGCATATTCATCATTAATCAACATAAAGTACATTACTACAGGACAAAAAAAGCACACAAGTCAGATAAAAGTTCAGCAGAAGGCATTCACAATTTTCAAAGTGGTCAGTTGCTGGTCTTTGCTTTCAGCGCCTGTCGAAGACTGTCACTCGGTTTCACTGATTTTGCATTCAACTTCTTGCGAAGAAGTCGGGTCACAGCATACCCCCTCACCGTGGTGAACACACATACAATGTCTTCCAAGAGTGGTAGTAAGTCGGTCTCCGGAAAATCACCATACAATTGAGTCATGTAATGTTTCACCATGAATGAATCCATCATCTTCTCTTTCACTTCACAACTGTTCAATGAAATAGACTGCAAGTTGTCAAAGTCCACTATCGTCCTGATGGTGTTCTCCAGTTCCCTCACAAGCAGGTAGAATGCATCTGTTGGTCTCAATAAGCCACCACGAGTACTTTTAGTCAGCCACTTGTCAAACTCAGCAATGAAACTGGAGTTGTTTTTTTCACATGTTAACTTCTCCAGCATCTGCAGTCGCTCATCACGGTCTTCCTTCTTCTTCCTGAAGCTTTTCTTCTTTAGACTTCTCACAATGAAACCACAAATGTAAAACAGAATTTGCTGGTCATTTTGGGAAAGTTCCTTTGACTGTTGCTCAGACACAGTTTTGTTTTGTTCAAGCAAAGTGTTCACAATCTCACAGGGCAGGTTTAGAATGTACGTCTGAAGAAAGTTCACGATATCCTCGCTCTTCTCGGTGCAGCCTCGCTCAATGAATTCTTTCACACAGTCGCGCTGTAAGATGGCTGATAATCTAAGGGCATGAAGTTTGGTATAGAAAACCTCCCTCGAAAGGTTGTGACACAAGTTCAGGCTGAATATGTCTGTTAGGTGGTTCACGAAAAAGGAATCCAAGAATTCCTGGGTGGCACAGAACACGGCAAGACGCACAGTCACAGTATCACCGAACAACTGGTACATAGGATCTTCTTTAATCTTCTGAAGAGTTCTGGTGCTGGCATTACGGATTACCCCATCAAAGTCAGGAGTTGAAGTTGGCACAAATTTTATTTTCTCACTCACTGGTGATGTCCGTTCTTTGGCTCTGTGGTCACTGGCTACAAATAAAAATGTACATATTTAGTAACAAGAAGACAATGAATATATATAGTTTTTTTTTTCTTAAAATTAGAAAAAATAGATTTCAATTACCAAGTGTTTGATTTAAATAGTCATAATAGGGGCTTAATTTCTAATAACAAGAATTATTTAATGACAGGAAATTCAAGTTGAAATAATTCCTGATATCAAATTAAAAAAGATTGTAAATATTTACCTTTTATCCTGGGTTTGTTGTGTTGTTTTGTAACATGACCCCTAAAACCAGAGATGGTTTTAAGGATTTTGTTACATTCTGGACACTGGTAACCAAGGTGCTCTTGTGGTGGATTCTTTTCAGGTGATGAGCCACTGGCATTGTCATCGTAGTCTGTGTAATCACCTAAAAGTACATCTAGATCAATATCACCATCCCAAGACAAAAAGTCCTCTTTTGAGGCCATTTTGATAGCACAATATCACGACAATAACGAAACACACTGCTGTGCAGCTTGGCAATTTTAATTTTTATGTCTCTATAAAAACACCTAACTGCATACCCCCTGCTCATCGTTAACACCTCCCCGGAGTCTTAAAACAACACATGAGGGGTTCAAACACACTTACCAGGTAGTATGCATTATCTATACGTCCCCGTAATCAGGTTCCTGCTGTAATTAAGTATATATGAAAACACTCTGACTAGGGACCCGTGTTTATTTAAACCAGCCCCGTTAAAACGCCAATTAAATCGTTTGAAACAGAAAGAAAACGTAAAGCTTTTAGCCCGTTAATTAATTCTACCTTCCAAACATAATAAAAAAGCCATTACCACATCAATTAGTCGTTGTACGGCCAAAATGATCTTCTGTACAGGTTTTGTTTACATCGAAGTCGCTTCCATTTTAAATCTCGCGAGACCTAATTAGCATATGAATAGGGTCTTACGAGATATCGCGAGACTTGCGGCAGTTGCCTATCCCGTTAGTATATAGGTCCCTGCTGTAAATAGATTAATATTTTAGCTCATATTTTTAAATAAAATAATGCTGTACCGACAAACCACCCTACTCGTCTCTGATCAATGTAAATCGTATGTGCCGCATTATTTAATGCTATATTATTTGGAGTTAATTGGGTTTTTTCTGTATATATTTTAATTTATTTATTTTCTAATCTGCACTACTCATTTTGTTACTAATAAGTTATAAATCATGTATTTGGAGTTTATGTTATCTTTATTTCAATTTGTTTTTTAATCTGCACCAGCTCTTCCGTTTGCTATAAACCAAATATAGCATTTAATTCTGATGGATACATCAGTGCACACTTTAATAAGTGAAAAATCATGATCTCTTTTTCAATTATTATTATGCCAAATAATTACCCAGAAATGAAAAAAAGAAACGTATTTGTTCATCAGGTTTATTTGTTTTCAGCATATGTTGATTTCACATGATAAGTCATTAACATTTTAAAATTACATATTCAATTTATAAATAGCATGTGTATGTTCAACATCATCAGCAATTAACATGCATTCTCTGTAAGCACCAAAAAATTTACTATAGGGCTTGGAAACGACATATCTCCGATTTTGATGAAATTTGCACCACAGGTGCACCTTGGTACAAAACCAGCAAATATGGTGTTAGAAGTTTCCCACGTGCACCCGGTTGCCATGGAGACGGATCCATTGAATTTGGCCATTTTCGGCCATTTTTGACCAAACAAAAGCATGAAAATTGAGGAAATATGAATGCATTTTTGTCTTTATGTAGTGAACTCAAATATGAATCTTTGTATCATAAGAAAACATCAATTGTTAAAGAATACAGGGCATATAACCAGTTATTCCAGAATTGACCCCACTCTTAGAAAATGGTTCGGGAAAATAGCATAGTTTCTCAAAATGTGAAAAATGGAAAATTTGGCATTTTTTGAGAAATTTAAGGCTAAATAAAAAAAATTGTCTACGGAAATTTTTCAAATCATATGTGTGTCGTCAAACGTCAGTATTAGTAGTGTCCCCTCATGAAAAAATTGGAGTGGGATATCAATGCTATTTTTAGTAACATGTATCTAAAAATAGACATATTTCAGAAAAATCCAAAAAATGAAATTTGGGCAGAGTTTTAGATGCCATTGCTAGGTAATTATGAAATATACTGTAAAAGTCAATGTGCTAATGCCAGAGACTGGACACCAATAACTACCATGCATATTATTTTCAGGGATTTCCGTTTTCTATTTATAGCTTCAAATGCCTAAATATAGACATGTCTCATAAAATGATGAAAAATGTCAATTTTTCCTCATTTTGAAGCTCCACTGAATCATAAATAATAAAAATATGGATCTCTCCTATATTTCATTAATAAGAACAAGGAATAGTATAATATCTCACAAATTATTAAGGACAGGCTCTCATCTCTATAAATAGTACAAATGTCTAAAAATAGACACATATGAAATAAACTGTTTAATGTTGATTTTCCACTAATTCTCAAATTAGAGATAAGAAATTTACCAACTTACTGTCACTAACTGTAACTGATATTATGTGACTGACAAGAACAAAAGAACATTCAATGGAATGCAGCATGATAAGCAGAAGTTTCAATTTCTATTTATAGTAACACCTAGTTTAAAATAGACGTAATGCAAAATATCGGGAAAATGTCGTTTTTTGTACTTTTTTCTAAAATTTTGGATGAATAATTGCTGACTATCTGTTTTTAATTGCTATTGGCATATGGTGACCAACAAATAAAAGAAAGCCTTATATCAAAAACAGAATGAGAAGCAGAGGTTTCAATTTCTATTTATAGTAACACATGTTTGAAAATAGACGTACTGCAAAATATCAGAAAAATGTATTTTTTTGTACTTTTTTCTCACATTTTGGATGAACAAGTGCAGACTATATGTTTTAACTGCTAATTGGCATATGGTGACCAACAAGTAAAAGAAAGCATATACGAAATACAGAATGAGAAGCAGAGGTTTCCAATTCTATTTATAGTAACACATGTTTTAAAAATAGACGTGATGCAAAATATCGGAAAAATGTCATTTTTTGTACTTTTTTCTAAATTTTTGGATGAATAATTGCTGACTTTCTGTATTTAACTGCTATTGGCATATAGTGACCAACAAGTAAAAGAAAGCCTTATATCAAATACAGAATGAGAAGCAGAGGTTTCCATTTCTATTTATAGTAACATGAGTTTAAAAATAGACATACTGTAAACTATCGGAAAAATGTAGTTTTTTTGTACTTTTTTCACATTTTGGATGAGCAATTGCAGACAATATGTTTTTACTGCTATTGTCATTCAGTGACCAACAAGTAAAAGAAAGCATATATGAAATACAGAATGTGAAGCAGAGGTTTCTATTTCTATTTATAGGAACACGTTTGAAAGTAGACATGCTGCAAATTCTCGAGAAAATGTAGACTTTCGCACTTTTTTTCTAACATCAGGGATGGTCAAAGTGCAGACAAACGGCTTTTATTTGTTATTGACAGAATGTGACTAACGAGTATGAAAAAGCTTTAGCTAAAGTGTAAAAGAGTAATGTTTAAGGGTATTTTTACATTTCTGCCTATAGTAACACATATTTATAAATAATCAGGAAAATAAAGAATCATTCGTTTTTCTCAAATTAGGGATATGAAATTTGCAGTTGAACTTTCATTAGCTGTAACTGACATGGCTAATTATATTCGGCGCGCCAGCGCGTCCACCTCATTCCAATACATATATCACAAAAGTATGTTCTCCCTGCATTAAAACACTCAAATGACAGGGATTTTCTTTATAAATTAAGCATAATCGTTTATATTCAGGTCCACAGCCCAAGTCCGATTGAAATTCTTTTGTTAGGTGGATCCAGAAAATTTTCCCTAGGAGGCGGTGGCTCTAGAATTTAGAAAGAAAAAATGGTACTGAAAGAAGTTCAGTTTTGTTATGACCCTAGAGATTATTGCCATGAAAATCAAGTCTTTAAAAAAGAGATAAAACTCTAGGGTCATAACAAAATACTTTGTTCTTTCATGTTAGAAGAAAATTAAAAGTGAAGAGGGGGGCCCAAACATGAAATCCTATTTCATGTGAGGGGGATTGAACTTCTTTCAGTACCATTTTTCTAAACACTACCACTTACCCTTATTCGATTACACTGCAAAATGTCTGCTGAAAAAGGGGGGGGCTAAATCTACTCCCCATTATTTATTACCTATGTGATGTCTATCTTTGAACCCCCCCCCCGTGCCAAGACCTACATGTATGTTTATACGTAAAATAAATTTATAAAAACCAAAACATTTTTTTTAAATGCTTTAGTTTAAGTCTAGAGAAATATATACATGCATGTATAAAGAGAGAGATATCGAAAGTAAGCCAACTCAAAAAACTTTGGACAAATTTCAGATTACCTTTGAACAAATTGTGGTAAGGCATGCATGGATCAAAGGGGATCTGGATCCCTGGAATATTCAACTTCATTATATCCCCCCCAAACGAAGTTTTGGGATATATTAGAATCAGTTTGTCCCTCTGTCTAGCTGTCCATCTGCCCATCTGTCTGTGCAAAAGTGTCCGATCCATATCTTCCTTAATGAGGAACATTAGAATCTACTACTCCACACAAAGATTGTCCATGACCTAAGTGTGTGTCATGACCTTGACCCAAGGTCATTTGGGGAACTTCAAGGTCACTGGAAGAAAAATTTTATAATTCGTGTCCGGTCCAGATCTTTCTTATTGATAAACTTGGTAGGTTCCTATTTCACATAAAGATTGCCCTAATATTGTGTCATGAGCTTGACCCAAGGTTATTTAGGGAAGTTCAAGGTCATTTGAAGAAAATTTCATAATTCGTGTCCAGTCCAAATCTTTCTTATGGGTAAACTTGGTAGGTTCTCATTTTACACAAAGACTGCCCATGACTTAAGGGTGTGTCATGACCTTGAACCAAGGTCATTTTTGGGAAGTTAAAGGTCACTGAAGAAAAATTTCATAATCGTGTTTGCTCCATATCTTTCTTATGGATGAACTTGGTAGGTTCTCATTTCACACACAGACTGCTCATGACCGAAGAGTGTGTCATAACCTTGACGCAGGGTCATTTGGGGAAGTTCAAGGTCACTTGAAAAAAAAAATTGTGTCTGGTCCATATCTTTTTTATGGCTAAACCTGAATCTACTACTTCACACAAACATTGCTTATTATCTGATTTTCTGTCATGACTTTGATCCAAGGCCATTAATACAAGATCAAGATCACTGACAGAAAAAGTTCATAATTCGTGTCTGGTCCGTATATTTAGTCTGATTTTTTTTATTAGGATACGCCATCGTTTCATTTATGAAAATATTATGAGCAATTACATTTGCATTAAAAATGTTTTAGCATTTCTCTCTTCTCTTAGAATAAGATCCATTTAATATTCATGATTTAGCACTTCTGAAAAACCCAGCGGGGGTATTTAGTCCCGTTTGGACAGATCTAGTTTAAACTGACATAGTGATTTGAGACACCGGCTCCTAGGAAAAATTTTCTGGATCCACCTAACAAAAGAATTTCAATCGGACTTGGGCTGTGGACCTGAATATAAACGATAATGCTTAATTTATAAAGAAAATCCCTGTCATTTGAGTGTTTTAATGCAGGGAGAACATACTTTTGTGATATATGTATTGGAATGAGGTGGACGCGCTGGCGCGCCGAATACAATTAGCCATGTCAGTTACATCTAATGAAAGTTTAACTGCAAATTTCATATCCCTAATTTGATAAAAAGGAATGATTCTTTATTTTCCTGATTATTTATAAATATGTGTTACTATAGGCAGAAATGTTAAAATACGCTTAAACATTATTCTTATACACTTTAGCTAAAGCTTTTCCATACTCGTTAGTCACATTCTGTCAATAACAAATAAAAGCCGTTTGTCTGCACTTTGACCATCCCTGATGTTAGAAAAAAAG